TATCCTGCTCTGCCCATGCCCCAGTCTGTGCTACCCTAACTCCTTCAGAGTAATGGAGCTGGCCTGCAGGTAGCTTGAGAATGACCAAGGAAAGAAAGTGCAAGGAAAGAACTAATGCTCTAAAATGAATTCACCTACCAACAGGTTTCCCTGTCATGGGACACAGCAACCTAGCAGTCTGCTGTAGTAGTATAGCTATGGTGGGGCATAAGCCCTGGGAACCAAGTTACAGGTGCCATCAGCAGCACTCTACATTACCCTGTACCATTGCTCCTCAGTACTCCGCACATCCCACACCAATTCTAACATTCAGTCATATCTCTGCATAAGGTGCTGCATAGGGTGCTGGTTTGCCAAGCACCATACCAGGACTTGCAGCATGGAGGCCTCTATTATTTTACAGCATGAGTATAAGGCTGCTAAAGACTGAGCTCATACTCTGGGGGTAGATATTTATGGAGGTACTATATGACGATTTTCATATGCTGGAAGTATGTTATCCACTGAGCCTTTGTTAATATGGGAGAGATAATTCCAAGCTTGACCATGTGAGGTGCATTGTTCATGGCTGGGGGTCAACTAGAGCCACTTTGGGAGCACGTTAATGGTATGCATGGTGGGGAGAATGATCTTTCAAGTGCATCTCTACTCTGCCTTTTGCCTGACTTCCAACTAACATGGCCAACTACCTCTTTCATTATCAGTTCAGTAACAATGCTCTGAAGTGAGGTGTGAAAGCTTGGGAGTGAAATCCTGGCCACTGACCTACATAGGATTATGACTTCTCTCCGATAGTTTGGTTCATCAGAGCCAGTAACTAGAGCTGCTGTGGGACTCAAAAGGAGCTCTGAGCAAAGATTAAGGTCTACACCTTAACTCTCCCTCTTCTCATTCTCACTGAGCCTATTGGGGTCCCCCATGGCATGGAGCCCCAGGGAACTAGTTGCTTGCCCCCAAAATAGTCTATGCCAATGATGTTCTTTCTGCTGACTACATGGAGTCCTCGATTGCCCTGCAAACCTGTTCAAATGCCGGAAGTAATCAAACACTGCAGATTGCTGTCAGACAAAAACTGGTGCACCTTTAATGGCAACTGCTGCTGGGTGGAGCAAATTGTATTCTAAAACAGAACTCCTTAGGTACATCCAGACAAGCGTGAACGTGCGTTTCCCTGGGCATATATAGCAGCAGCACATAGTTGTGCCACCGCTACTTGTCCCCAAGGAATGCCCCTGCACACACACACTGGCACATGGCAAATTGCCCTGGGTGGGGTAGGGGAGACTGGGACCAGCACCTGGGCTGGACCCAGCAGTTTTACCTGGGGTCCTGGTGGCCTTTTGGAGCTGCAGTGATGGTGATTTGGACATGTAGAGCCTGGCTAGCAGCCAGAGTGTGGCTCTGGCTGGCCAGGCTCCAGTTTTAGGTGGTGTACAGTGCAGTCATGTGTACCATCCCTTTTTATTCTGGAGCATTTTTTTTTAGATATACCGGGATTTCCCCGATATTCAGTTTTGGCTCTACATTGCAAATATTCAGCATGGAGAATCTTTTGAGCTGCATGCATTTTGTGGTGCTGCAAAGCACATGTGCGCGCTCGTCTGGACATGGCTCTTAAGGCTAGCAAGTGAATTGGGATGTAAAGTCCTATGTAGGGCTGCTTAGTCATTCACATTATCAGAATGGAAAAGGCCACAAGGGATCAAAACATTTACTCTTCTTAGCTTCTACCACCCAACAGGAGTCATGGCAGCGCATGAAGTCAGAAGAATGATTCAAATTAAATAAGAGCAAAAGGAAGAGGGAAAAAAGGCACAGGGAGATAGGAAGGAATTCTTATAAAATGGAGACTGTGTGTATATGTGAGCTCAATAGCTCATTTTAGGACATATGGGGAGCAAACCAGGGGAGGACCTACCTAAATAGCATTTGCAATAGTAATGCAATGTATAAATTAAATTATATATATATAAGGGCTAAGATCCTATGTTCTCTAGCAATAAACATCTTAAGAGTTAACCCAATAATTGTGCATGGTGCCAGACTCCTGCCTAGGCAGCAGCATAAGATACATGTGCCTGATGCCTTTTGAGGGAAATCAACTATGACCAAACAGATTTAGTGCATCTCACTGTCACCCAGACCCCTTCATCTGTCTGAGTCAAATGTAGCCCAGAAACAAGACACAGAAAGTAGCAAAGGTGCTTCTAAATCATCTTTCTGGTCACTTAATCCTGGGGCTGGTTAGGAGCTAAACAAATGGACTGTTGCACTTCTGCCAAAGATCACCAAACTATGTCCCTAACCCTCCCAGGAGCTCTGTTCACACCCAGGCGCATATGAAGTAGGCCTAGCTATTTTGGCTCTACATTACTAAATATTAGGGGTATGCGAAATGGGCTGTATTCGATTCAGATGCAGATTCAGCCTGAATCGGGGACAGTGATTCAATCTGTTGATTCGGATCACTGTTCCCGATTTGATTCGGCTGAATCCAACTTCTAAGATTCAATGCCGATTTGGAGAATCAGCGATTCGGACATAGACACAGCTTTTAAATGTTTTTTCTACATACCTTGAGGTACCAGGCATGGCTTGTGATGCTAGGGCAGATGGAATGTCCCACAGGATGTGGGGGCCCCCCATGTACTGGGCGGTGAACCTAGAAGTGGACCAGAAGTGCTTCTGGTCCATTTCTGGGTCTGCTACCAAGTGTGCAGGGGAGCCCCTCGCACTTTTGTGGGACGCTTCATCTGCCCCAGCATCACAGCATTCACAAGCCACCTGATTCCTTGAGGTATGTAGAAAAAACTTTTAAAGCTGTGTCTATGTCCAAATCTCCAAATTGATTCAGAGGGTACCGATTCAATTCAGAGAGATTAAAGGGTCTCGTGATTCGATACAGATTCGGAGATTCAGCCACCGAATTGGGCCAAATCTCCACTGAACTGAATCAGATACTGAAGCTTTGCACAGCCCTACTAAATATTTCTTGATGGCCTGTTAGCTTCATTGGGAGCCACCTGAGTGCTATGCATTTAGAACACTTGAACTCCACTGAAAGCGTTGCATAATACTGGATAGTGAGTCCATGTTGAGTGCAATGTATGATTTTCATATTATATGGAGGTTTGGAAAGATGCCTACAAGTGAATGATTTGTTTTCAAAGACAAGTAATAAATTAAAATCCAAATGCAATTACTGTTCTCCTTATAATAAGCAAAGGCAGACAGGTTTTATCATTAAGTCCAAGAGTTATTCTAAATTACTATCTATTTGCATAGATATTAAGGGCTCACTCCCCTTAAGGAGGGGAGGAAGAGAGGCAAAGTTGACCCCAAGCATGGGTTACAACCTCCAGCCAATCCCAGCATGGGGAAACAAATCCACTCCCAAGAACTGGCTGTGGAATGAAACCCACATTGGCAAGAGCCACAGTACTCTAAAGCCTTCCCTAACTTCTGCCTGACTTGCAGATCACTGGAAAACATTGCACTCCAGCCCCACAACACTGTCGTTCTCCTAACCGGTTTCAGCTACGGTGGCTTTGTGTCAGTCCAGGGCTTACCTTGCAGAACAAGCAAGCCTCACCTGCTCTTGGGGGCAGAATTCTGATGGGGGAAGAATTTGGGCCTAAATCCATATATGGTAGATATAATTATTCTGTATATCTTGATGTGCATTTCTTTTAGTAGGCCAATTAACTTGTATTCTCCTCCTCCTGTAATGTCTTGGAAGATAATTCTCCTTGGAACCTTCATTATCCACAAAAATTCTCTTAATCTCTCAAGAGCATGGGTTGGAAGCTTCAAGGCAGGCTTTTTCCCGACCCTTCCCTGGTTTTCTAGAAATGACTCTGCTTTCAATTCTAGTCATTCAAGCTAGTGGGGGAGGGGGAGAAAACTGGAAGTTTCAGTGTTTATTAGTTTTGATTTTTCGGTGCTGAGTACATTCTCAATGTTGACTCCACAGAAGACATTTTTAAAGGAATAATTGCTTCCAGATGTGTGTCCATGTTCCAGTCTGAATGAACACTGCAATCTTTGTTAAGGTTACAGTACCAGAAACTAAATCTTTCTTCTTGAGTCATGTCTTTGACAAGAATTGGGAGTGCTGTGTATATTGCAAAAGGATATATGGCTTGGTCCCAAGACCTATAAAACTTTCTATATAATAATCTCAAATCACTTTATGAAGCAGACTCAGATAGTGATATATATGTTAGCCTGTTTAATGATGAGATAAAGCTGCCTCGGGGTTCACTGATCCTATCAATATCAATGGATAGGATCCACAGACACAGCCCACTCAAAGAGGGACATTTCTGTAAAGACCTTAATCTCGAGTCTTAGAGAATTCTTGGAATACTCTCAAACATGCTTCTTGAGAATTTGATAATCCTCTCCAACTTCCAGCATGAAAAGAAGGGGAGAATGGATGCTGTAGACATGACCAATAATCCTGTCACCAGAGGTAAAACAGGGCTTGTTTACACGGGGCACTGAAATATCCAAACTCCTTCAGTTAGGGTGCATCTATGCCATAGGCTTGTGTCAGACACATAAGGATAAGTAGTGGTTATTGTTATGCTGCTTCCAGCTAGGCAGTAACCCCCATAGAGTGTCTGAGGGTGCTGCTGCCTGGCACAATACGTTTGAAGAGTAGACGTGCCCTTAGAGATATAGGGTAAATCAGTTCAGCATGATGCTAATGTGCTTAAACAGCTTCTAGTAGCCCAAGTAGCTCATATTGTAGGTAACTCATACTGCAGGTATACTACCTGGCCCTGAATTGTGCAGTGTAAACACTGCCATTCCCAAAGTCATTGCATAGACTTGGGAGACAGCTCCATGAAGTTAGGATCATAGGAGGGATCTCAGGAGGTCAGCTAGTTCAGCCCACTGCTCAAGGCAGGATCATCCCTGACTAAACTATCCCAACCAAACATCCATCCAATCTGCTCTTGAAAATTTCAAAGGATAGAGATTCCACAACTTACCTATGTAACATGTTCCAATACTTAACCACTTTCATCATCAGAGCAGTCTTCCTAATTTCCAACCTAAATAAATAAATAAAAGAAGTGTGTAACCCGGGCAGTACTCTAAGAGGTACCCGTTCTCCAATTGAAGGGATCAAAGCAGGTGCACAAGTGCTATGGGAGGTGTAGGGACTCTCCTCCCCCTATAGAGCAGAGCCAGACCACCAATGGGGACTTAACCATATATCTTTTAGTGAGAGAACAATACTGGGAACATAACCAATATAAACCAGGGAGTATAAGGGACACTACAATGCCCCAAAGGCACCGGATTCAACAAAGGTTAGACACTTACAATCATAGACATATTCATCCAGTTGACAAAAGACAGGGTTAACCAAAATATAAAACACAAACAGCAGTACAAACAATACTGGTTGGTGAAATATAAAAGGCACAAAATACAAAATGTCAAATGACAAGGAATATAGGGCCTAGGTACCTGGAGGGGGAGAAAGGGGAAAAAAACAATGGTCCCTTTCCACTGCAAGAAGAATTTCTCCCTGTTAGCTCACTCACCCCAAGTCACCACAGCTGGAACTTGAACTTGGATGTCCTACATGATAGGCAGAAATGCTACCATACAGCCACCAGTGGTGGCACTGCTCTAGGCTGCTAGGGGTCTTGACTTTCCTGGAGCCCCTGCCTCATGTCGAGCTGCCTGGCCTCTGACTGGAGGAGCTGGAAGCAGGGCTGGGAACCCCTCAGGTCCCTGCTCAGATCCTGGCTGGAGCTGGGGAGCCTCTCCTGCTGGCCACAGCATCTCCCAGGGGATCCTGGAGCCCAGTGGGGAGCATCTCCTGGCGGCCACACGCCGCGGTGCTGAGGGTCCCACTGCTGCCTACAGGTCCCACTCCTTCAGGCTCTTCTGGGGCAACTGCTCCTGCCCTGCTGGCTCAGTTCTTGCCAGCTTTTTGAATCTCCTTCCTTGTGGTCCCTTGCTGGTCTCTCTTGAGTCAGCCACGCTCCCCCTTTTATCCCCCCTCCAGGTGACCCAAGGGGCCAATCAGGGGACATGGAGGGTTTCATAGATTCATAGATTAAGGGTCGGAAGGGACCTAGTAGATCTTCTAGCCCGACCCCCCGCCAGGGCGGGAGAACAACAAAACAACCCCAAAAAGAGAAACGGGACTCAAATGAGTCCAGCCAGGTAGGCATCCAGCCTCTTCTTAAAGACCCCCAGGGTAGGGGCCAGCACCACTTCCCTTGGAAGTTGGTTCCAGCTCCTAGCCGCCCTAACTGTGAAGTAGTTTTTGCGGATGTCCAATCTATACCTCCTCTCCATCAACTTGTGCCCATTACTCCTTGTTATGCCAGCGGGCGCTAGGGGAAACAGCGTCTCCCCCAAACCCTTCTGGTCCCCCCTAGTGAGTTTATAGACGGTCACCAGGTCCCCCCTCAGCCTTCTCTTGTGGAGGCTGAATAGGTTCAGGTCCCGCAGTCTCTCACTGTAGGGTCTGCCCTGTTGTCCCCGGATCATGCGGGTGGCCCTCCTCTGGACCCTCTCCATGTTGTCCACATCCCTCTTGAAATGGGGCGCACAGAACTGGACACAATACTCCAGCTGTGGCCTGACCAGCGTCGCGTAGAGGGGGAGGATCACCTCCTTGGCTCTACTCGAGATGCACCTGTGGATGCACGACAAGGTCCGGTTAGCCCTGCCAACCATGACCTCGCATTGTCGGCCCATGTTCATCTTGGAGTCAATAATGACTCCAAGATCTCTTTCTGCCTCCGTGCTCTCGAGTAGGGAGTTCCCCATTGTGTAAGTGTGCTGCTGGTTCCTACTGCCCAAGTGCAGCACCCTGCACTTGTCCGTATTAAAACGCATCCTGTTCCTGTTAGCCCACCCCTGTAACCTATCCAGATCCCTCTGCAATCTCTCCCTCCCTGCTAGCGTGCTCACCTCCCCCCAGGGAGGGTGAATCTCTGGGGCCTGATTGGTGAGGAAAGGGAATCCCAAGTCCTCCAATCATCTTTTGCCTTTTCAAAACCCCTGGGCTAAGTCACTACCAGGTAGCCTGTCACAAATGTTAAGCAAGAGAAAGCATGACAACAATGCTGCAGAATAATGTTTTTTCCTTCTTCCCCTTTCCACACCCACTGAGGTACCCAGGGCTTGATATAGGTACAGGAAGTCACACATGAGTTAGGACTCCTAGAAGAGGTCTATCTTGACTAGTCTTAAGAGCTTTATGTATTTTAACCAAGTCATGCTTTGCCACCCCTTCCCCTCCTCTCTCCTTCCCACATACACACTCTTACTCCAATAGGCATGCAGCTCAAATGATTTTAAGGTAGGCATTTTATATGAAACTAGCCAATTACCCATCAAAAATGATGGGGGGAAGCGTGTGGGGATGGAGCCCCCATGTCCCCCCCCTTCCAGGCCTGTTCCCCCCTTCTGTCCTGCTGCTTGGGGTCCGGGCCTGTTCCCCCCCACTCTGCCGCAGCAGCAGGGGGAGGGGAGGAGTGGGTCTGGGCCTGATGTGGGGGAGGACTGGGCCTGAGGGTGGAGAGAACCTGGGCCGCCGCGATGGGGGAGGAGCAGTGGGCCAGGGCTGACCTGGTGGTGGTGGGGGGACGGGAGAAGCAAGCTCAGGGCCGACGCAGGGGAGAAGGCCCACTCCTTCCCTCCCCCAGCTGCTGCTGTGTCAGTACGCATCAGGACAGGCCCGCTGCTCCCTCCCTGAGATGGGCCTGCTCCACCCCGTGGTGGTGGCGGTGGGGGAAGGGGAGGAATTGGCCCAGGCCCGATGCGAGGGAGAAGCCGGGCCACTGCGGCAGGGGGAGCAGTAGGCCCAGGCCAACCTGGCAGCGGCAGCAGGGGGGATGGGAGCAGTGGGTTTGGAGCTGATGCAGGAGAAGGGGAGGAGAGGAGTGGGGGAGGAGAGGAGTGGGACTGGGCCTGAGGGGGAAGGAGGCCCACTCCTCCCATCCCCCCACTGCTTCTGCATTAGGCTGGGCCCACTGCTTCCCCCCCCCCCACTGTGGTGGGCCAGCTTCTCCCTGCTTTGGGCCTAGACCCACTCCTTGCCTATCCCCGTACATCGGCCCCAAGCTCACTTCTACTGTCTCCCCTACCACCGCTGGGTTGGCCTGGGCCCGCTGCTCCCACCATGGTGGGCCAGCTTCTGCCCACCCTTGGGCCCGGTCCTCCCCTGCATCGGGCCCAGGTCCACTCCTTCCCTCCTGCCACTGCCGTGGCGACACGCCTGCTATTCCCCCCCACTGCCATCACGTTGCCCCACGTCGGGTCCTGCAGGTGGCAGTGAAGATGAAAGGGGGGAGGGATGGGCCAAAGCCAGCGCTGGTGGCCTTGCCCCCCCTGCACCGCCGCCGCCGTCACCTGAAATAAGCAAGGGGGGGGCAGGGCGAGGTCAGCTCCAGTGGCCTCACCCCCCCGCTCCATCCTCGCCACGTGCAAAGAGCAGGGCAGGGGGGGAGGTCAGAACTGCTGGCCTCACCCTCCCTGTTCTGTCCGTTTCATTGCCCCTGCCTCCAGGGAGCAGCACAGCTGGCCTCGCCCCCCACTCCGTCCCCTTTGTCTTCACCACCGCCAGCTCCTGTTCTAGTGCTTGTTTGCACTCTGACTTGCTGTTTGTCAGCCAATCAGAGCACTATGAAGCATTACAGATAGATAGACAGATAGACGTAGGATTTTATAATATTAGAATTGTTTAGAAGTACAGGACCTAAAAGATACAATTTTATTAGAGAAATATGGCTAGCTAATTAAGAATCACCTTATCTAAGCTCTGGCATCAAATTCTAAATTCTCCTTGACCATTTTCTCTTGAGATGATACTAAACTACCTCTTATTCTGTTTTTCTGTGTCCACTGAGAATTTGACTCTGCAACACTATATATAGCATCGATTACTCATGGAGGGATCCTGAATATGTTACAACATGGCTTCATTCCAAAAAGAAAATACATTCAAATGCATGTTAAAAAGTGATAATTTTCTCTGCAATATTTGTTTTATCCATAATCTACCATTACTTCACTAGAAATAAAATTATCATAAATATTTCACAGAGGGCCCCAAAAGTTGAGGGGAGAATGAGGAGAGGTCAGCTAGTCTTGGCCAGTTTATTAAACCCGTGAAGGACATTTTTTAAATAGACATGTAGGAGCTGGAAGACCTGTTGGGTGATGGCCTGTTTTATGATCTTGACCACTCTGCAAAGTTTAAGGACTAACGAAGTGAGCAATACTATATTACTTTGTGCTGGTTCAGAATTCCTACAGTTTATTACAGTGGCTTGTATGGCAATCAACTAAAACTGATGAGAAACTTTCTGATGGAACATTTTTTCTATTGGAAAAGCTTGATTTATACAAAGTGAAATGCTTCACCTTAGACAAATTTACTTGGATATGTTAACTGGAAGAAAGATGGGGAATGACAATACTGAAAAGTTCAGGGCCACTTTTTGTGATTGGAGTGTCACAGTTTTCTAGTTTTAAATTAATTGTGTTTCAGGTCTTTAATTTCATATAATTAAATTGAAGTCAAATTCAAAATAAAACTTTTTGAATTTTATCAAACCAAAACAATTCCATCAATCTGTTATAGCTGAATTTTGGTTTGTAAAGTTTCTTGGTTTTATTCAGTTCTGGAATGGAAGAAATTTTGAAACTGCAACAGTTCTGCCACTCTATATATCCTTATGAAATATTTAGTTTTCTTACAGCTTTAACAAGTAATGCAAGGTAGTGCTGAAAATTACTGAAATTATAAGGGAAAGGGTTTTAGTTGGCATTCCACTGAAAACAGAAATACAAAGATTAGAAAACATATGGCTAGAAAGAAAATCCTCCCACAGCCAAGATGTTTCTGTTCCTACAAAAATAGATCATATAAAGAAATTATTTTGTATCTAATAACTTTCATTAGGGTCTATGAAATTGTAACAACAGTAGCAAAATGGAAAAAACCTCAGAACAAATCCAGTTGAGCAAGGCTACGAAGTGCAGGCCTAGTATTAAGGATGTGAGCTGGGCACATGTTTAAT